GGATTCTTCTACACTGTTTCTCACGCCTGGTCATTCGCCATTTCCTGTCAGGTTTACTGGAGTGTTTTTTGCACGTACGATGCATTCCACATCAGTAATTCGATAAGATATTTCTGAGCAAGTGTGTGTGTGTGTGTGAGTGAGGTGAGTGAGGAGGAGGACGGGCGGGCGAGGAGGAGGAGGAGGCGGCGGATACAGAACTAAAAATAAAAACCCCACACGTCAATGTGGGGAACAAGGCGTTGGAGTGTGGTATACAAATAACGTTTTAGGCGACTGCATCCTACACAAACAGAAGGTTAGGGATGACACTGTACATTGGGCGTTCAGTTGCCTCAGCATTGCCGGTACACAAGGGTCACTCCATCTCCTTGGATGTGCATCCAAGATCTTGAAGAAAAAGCAGCTGGGTCACAACCAGGGCTAAAGCCACTATAGCCTACTTACCACGCCACCAAGTACCCTAACAGAGGCTTACCCATGGAAACAAGGAATCATTTGGCAAACCTAAGGCTCTGAGAGGAAGCATCACCTGATGCACGCGGTGGTCATCCAAAAGGCCCTGGTTCAATGCTTGAGCGCCCAAGCCATTCAAGCTGAGATCCTTCCCAGACAACTCCTCACCCTTGTACATGACGTTGTCCACGACCAGGAGGCTCTCTACCTTTAGCAAGTTCGTGTCCATAAGCATCTGATAGAGGGCAAAATAACCTGACAGCCAAGTCGCAACTTTACACATGCGTCACATTTTGTTTTTTCCCAAAAGCATCTCCGATGCTTGGGTTCTCGTTTAGTTGCCTTTGCCGCGAAGGGAGCGATATGGAAGTGACGGCAGGGTGGACGGAGGGGAAACCGTGGGAAATAGCTTGGGGAGAGCTCCGTTGGGAAGGGGAAGCCGTGGGAAATAGCTTGGGGAGAGCTCTGTTGGGAAGGAGCGAGATGGAAGCACGACAGGGTGGACGGACGGGAAACAGTGGGAAAGAGCTTGGGGAGAGCTCCGTTGGGAAGGAGCGACTTACTGAGAAGCAGAGCTGTTGGCACGGGTTTTCAGGACAAATTTCATTTCCAAACCCTGGGCCATGGGACATGCATAGCTTCGTTGGCAGGGAGCGCGACTAAAAAAGCAGAGCTGTTGGCACGGATTTTTCAGGACAAACCCGAAAAACTGGTGCCAAAGACTTCTCAAACGGTGTCTAAACGCTGGGCAAAGGGGCATGCCGGACATGCATGGGAAATCAATTCTTTGGAGGGGTTTTCATTTTGCTCGGCGTTCTGTCCGTCGATGCTAGGTTTTCGCTCCCTTTGCAGCGAAGCAAACTAAACTTAAACGACAACCCACGCATAGGATATGCATCAGCGTGAACGGACAGGTGGGGAAATAGCTTGGGAAGAGCTCTGCTGGGAGGGAGCCGCGCTGAAAATGCGGAGCTGTTGGCACGGGTTTTACACAGAGCAGCTTTTACACCGAGGAGCTTTTCACAGAGGAGCTTTACACGGAGGATCTTTTACACAGAGAAGCTTGTACACAGGGAGGACTTTACACACAGAATCTTTTACACAGAGAACTTTTACATAGGAAAGGTTTTGCACACAGAAGCTTTTACGCAGAGAAGTCTTTATACAGAGTAGTCTTGACACAGAGAAGCTTGCACACACAGAGGCGTTTACACAGAGAAACCTTTTACACAGGGCAGCTTTTTCACAGAGGAGTTTTTTCACAGAAAAGCTTGTACGCGCAGAGGCTTTGACACAGAGAAGTCTTTACACAGAGGAGCCTTTACACAGAGAAGTTTGTACACACAGAGGAGCTTTTACACACAGACGCTTCTACACAAAGAAACTTTTACACAGAGCAGCTTTTACACACAGAAACGTTTACACACAGAGGAGCTTTACACACTTACGATTTTAAACACAGAAGCTTTTACACGGGAAAGCCTTTACACAGAGAATTGCACACAGAAGTTTTTACACAAAAACACGTTTACACAGAAACTTTTACGCACAGAAGCTTTTGACGCGTTTACACAGGAGTGTTTACACACGGATGCGTTTACACACAGAAGCCTCCACGCACAGAAGCTTTTACGCAGAGTAGCTTTTACACAGAGAAGTCTTTACACAGAGGAGCTTTTACACAGAGAAGTCTTTACACAGAGGAGCTTTTACACAGAGAAGTCCTTCATACACAAAGGAGATTTACACACAGAAACCTTTACACACAAACGCGTTTACACACAGGAAGTTTCACACACAGGAAGTTTTACACACAGAAGCGTTTACGGCGCCCTGAACATTTTACACAGAGCAGCTTTTACACACAGAAGCTTTTACACAATTACTTTACTTCGAGTGACCCCCACCATGACATTTATACGTTTTGTTACTGGAAAATCTTCTGACATATCTTCTGTCATATCTTCATGGTGAAGATCACGTAGATACCAGCCACTCCCCTTGCAAGCAAGCCATTGCGTTTTTTTTGGTCTGTGATGTTGCTAGCCGGTCTGCCGCTTCACTCCCGAATGTCACCTGGCGTCTAACAGATATGATCACTTGAATGAACCATCAAACATTTCAAAACATGCCGCTGTACCGCTGCAAACAAACATGCCAAGACATGTTGGAATCCACCTGCATCACTCATGTCCTGTCGCCTGCAGTGCAGATTGAAAAACAAACATGCCAAGACATGCCAAGACATGTCGGAGACCACCTGAATCACTCATGTCATGTCGGCTGCAGCACAGCTTGGAAAACAAACATGCCAGGACACTGTGGGAAACCATCAGAATCAGTCATGAAATGTGACCTGCAGATGAGGCTGGACAACAAAGATGCCAAGACATACCGGGCCACCACCTGATTCAAGACCGAGCTTCTGATGTTACACTGTGCTGCTCTCGAAACCGACACAGCTTTCCCACTATCACAAAGCAAGATCAAGTTGATTCTGACATGATGAACTCGCATGAAACATCTCATTCTCATACGCCACCTCAGCACATGCCGGATGCATCAACAGACCGACCCACATAGATCTGGTAAGGTCACAAAGCCTACAAGCAGTGCACCCGTGATCACCAGTCATCACATAGGAGCAGGATTAGCAGTCATCACAACAGCCAATTTTTCTTCCACCACAAGCATTGCTTCTGCCAAGTGTGGCCATACATGCAAGTGCTCCACAGGATCCAACTGTTGCAATAGCATGAAACATCCGTGCAAGCCATCAAAAAGTCTATCTCTATTTGGAAATGCTCTCAAGGTCACATAGCTGTTTCGAGCATCATGTTCAAGAGTGGCAGTGAAATAGGGCCAAAGAAGTCGTAGCAATATTGGCATAACCGCAGCAGCCCCTGGATCTTGGAATAACAAGGCCAGCCGCAGCGCTTTCCATATGTTCTGCAAATCTTCAAGTCCCGGACGCTGACCAAGAACACGAAGAAGTACTTCAAATACGAAGCACGCTCGATCTGCAGCCTCTATCAAAGTTGTATCTCTCTCAAAGCTCGCCAAAACGAATTGCAACCAGTCTTCGCACCATTCAGGCATAGCCATGGTCACAGTTAAAACATACCAAGTGGGCACCACTGTAATTAAACACAGCTAACACCAAACTATTTGGCATTCTATTAGACATTCTATACAGTGTTTGAGCAGGCGTCCATGATGTTGATGTTATACGTTTGTATTGGTTAGCGCGATATGTTCAAAGCATCTGATACACATAGCTAACTCAAGCTCATGAGAGGATGAGATGCGCAATTCATCGAGTACAAAAGCAAGGTTGATCAGTAGCTGCAGAGCCAAACCAAAGTAAAACCATCTTGGCATACACACCCCCTGCAAAAGACAAAAAGAAAAGCAAGCAGAGACCTGATATCCAACTGCACAACAAATCCTTACACTACATTCTCTGCAACTGCTCAGCATGAGAGAGATGCACCTACCTTTTCGCAACCACCATCTGCTTCGCATTCACCGCTATCACAGCATGCTGACGCCATTAGACCGACCTGGACAAAACCAGTAAGGTCACAACAAGCGCAGGATTACTGTCCATCATAGGCAGGCCACGACCGGAGGCGTTCAAAGGTCAAAGCAGCTTTGGCTTCCAATTTGTCAGTAAGTTGTCGCAGATACGGAGGAGGACCCCTGCGCAGAAGCTCTTCTACTTGGTCCGTAAACCCCAACAAGATCAGATTCTCCAATTTCCTACCACGTGTCAGCATGACGTAAATGGCAAGCCACCAGTCAGAATCCTCCAACCCGCCCGCGCGACGTAAGTCCAGCACCACTCCTCCATCCAGAGTCAAGCCTTGAGCACTGTAAGCAGTGCGCAACATGCCGTGCAAAAGAGGAAATTGCCAGCGAATCACTTCGATTTTCTTGGTTTCATCTCCAATCTTCAGATCAATTTTGAAGTCAGCATGAACCAGTTCCACGAAGAACAAAGTTTTGGCATCTGCTGCGTGCTCCGTCACATTGGCAAATTCTTCTTCCCACTTCTGCAGCAATGCTTCTTCCATGGGCGAATTCTGTCCTTCCAGCAACTTGACCCAGATACCTTTCGCCATGAACTCTGGAAAGAACTGGCGAAAGCCCGGCTCTAGGGTGGCCAAGCGTCGCTGATCAGCATGATGCAAATCCACCTTCACGACCACAGCCAACTTATCCTTGACCAGTCCAAGATGCGGAGCCAACACATCCGCCAGGCATACAACCATGTTTTCATGCAGTAGCAACATGCCCTGCAACTTGCCCGTGCGGTGAGGATTGGGAATAGTTAGCAACTGATGTGTTAATTGCGCATCCACAGTCTTGTTTCTCCTGGAATGTCTTTGGTCTGCTGCCTGCAGACAAAAGAGTGGAACATCCAACTCCTGGGCATCTCGGTGTGCTCTTTCCACCATGCTGCGAGCAATGTTCTCCCAATACATTCCAACCACATGGCCATGTTTGAACAGATCCGTTGCCAATTCTTTGCGGCAGTTCTCAATCTTGCGCGAGCGCAATTTCGCCAAAAATTCTTCTGGCAAAGGCCGACTGGGTGAGCTCACCCGCATGGCTGCCGTGATGTCCGGCAGTTGTGCGTCCAGAAACCGCTTAGTTTTCTTCAAGTGAATCACCGTCTCAATGCTCATCACCGCCGCCTGAGCAGCGTAGTGCTCTGAATGAATTCTGTGCGGTGCTTTGCGAACAAGCTCTTCCAAATCGTCTGCCGGTGAAATTTCATTGGCTGGTTTGATCTGCAAGAAATTGCCAGCAATCAACAAGATCGGTATGTGGCCCATCAATTCACCTGGTTGTGCGTAACTAGGTGGATCCAATCCTTCGTCTTGGCGTGCTCGCATGCTTCGATAAAGCATCATATTTTCGACAGCTGCAGGCACCAAACTAATTTCATCTTGAATGACCAAGATCTTCGGTTGCCATCGCCGCTTCATTTCTTCTTCTTTTGTCTTCAAAGCAAGATGCTTGTTTCGCAGACTGGCGACCCGATAGGAGCAAGAAGTGTGACATGTGCGAGCACGATAGGTGTCATTGGAAATGGCATCTGATTGCGCGTGGCTGAATGTGGAAATGATGTATCGCTCCTCTTCTCCAGGTCGTGCTGGGAAGAACTGACAAAAGACTTCCAGCATGAGCTCCAAAAAAATGGTAGTCTTTCCAGTGCCGCCAGCACCAATCAAAAGACATGCCTGCTGCTTTCGATTTCGAAGTGGCACACTGTTCTCCTCTTCTTGTAAGGCGACGTCCATGGCTTCACCAAACCACCTGCAAGCACACAATTGCTCCTGTGCCAGCTTGAAACCGCCAATAGACTTTTTGAACTCTGCAACCTTTTTCGCCATTGCCTCCGATGGCTTCGCAAAGCTTCGCCAGTGCGCCGCGGGCGCAGTAGTTTCTTCTTGCATACGCCCTTTGGCCGGCAGGGCCATGTCTGCCGCAACACGGCCACCCGATTGACCCGGGCAAGACTGGTGAGCTATCACCGTGTCAGCTGTCACGCAGGCACGTTGCAAGCCAAGCAACGTTTGTGTGATCATGGGCAATTTGTCTCTCAGTCGCAACTGCTCATCCCTTGCTTGTACCGTAGCCCTGGCGCCATGCTTGTAGTTTGCCGCTTTCTCCAAAGCATCTTCATCCGGCGTCAGCGGAAGTAAACCAGCAGCAATCATGTCTCGAACAAATTTGGTGTGTTTTTGTCTGTGAAAGATCAAAGCTCGAGATCGTTCTGTAGCAGTCAATTGATGATTTACTTTCAGCGGTGCATCTCCAGCCTTGAGTTTCACTTCTCCATCCAATCTGCATCTGCATCTAGAGCATAGGATTTTGTCCTCGGCGCTGCCTGCAAGGTAACCTTGCAGGCCGACAAATCCACACCTTGCTGAGCTAGATCATGTAGTGTGTGTGCCAGAATCTCGCAACTTGTGTTCGAATCTTTTGCAACATCAGGTTCGGAAAGGTAAAGGGCCACATGGCGGCCGTGGCAGATAACACCTGCCACATGCAGTCGAGGCCGGTTGAAACTCTCGAAAACTTTGGCTCTCACCAGCGAAGATCTAGGAGCCTGGAATTTGCTTTGGTCCATACCGTCTTGGATCAGAACAATTTCCAAGCCCCGAGCACGGCTTGGCCACGACTATGCCAATATATGACACGGTCACGAAACTGTGAATGAAGGTGAGCATAAAGCATTTGCTGTTGAACTCTGCGTGCGCGAAGGTGGTGCGCCAACCCTGCTATCATTGCTTTGTGCTTCACACATTCAGTACATTGGGCATGGCTGCTCACACCGCGGAATTTCATGAAAGAGAAATGCGGCGACCACACCTGACAGTGTTTGGTTGAAAGCATGTGGACACGAACACAAAACACATCTCAGAATGACAAGATACGCAGGCACAAACCGAAGATGAAGTTAGTTCCTTTTCGGGGGGCCTTCTCGAAAGAATGAATTCAGTCCTGGAATCGACGTTTTTTGGAGGTGCTGGTTTTGCATATGGAAACGTGTCTTTAGACATCTTGGTAAACAAACCGGTAAATAAAATTAATTTGGGCGAGGAACTCTCCAGAATGTCGGGAATGAGACTTTGGCAGAAGGGTTTTGTGTGCAGAACTGTACCCAATATTCTTTCATTGTGCCATTTGGGAGCCACCGCTCCTCACACCCCTCTGCAACAGTCCGCCCTGGGCAAACTTGAACACCACGGTGGTGTTTTTTAGCCTTTGGAACCTTCTCCTTTGCAACCTTTTGGGCCTCATCCTGATAGAGCCCAATGTGTAAACTATATGGGTCATCCACAGAAGTCTCATGATCAGGCTCTCCATCATAAGTCTCGTCCCTCACGTCAGGCAAATTCTCGGCTACTGACGTGTAGATTGTCTCTAGAAAGGACATGACCTCTGTGGCCTCGTGAGCTTGGTCTCGGGCAAACTGGGATCTTGACAAATAACGCAAATCCACAGGAGGCTTCTCATCGCCCCGCTGAACAGCATCGAAGATTTTGCCAAACCTTCGGTTTCCTGGTCAACTGACAGAGTGTTCGCTTGGCAACTTATTCTTTCTTAGAAGATAAACATGCCCTTTGCTTTCAAGTTGATGCAGATCAAAAACTTTGGTATTTAACGGGACCGCTTTTGTAGTTAAGAGACCCCATTGGGCGCGCATCCGTGTTGAGGAGTATATATATATATATCTGTATGTGGATGCACTATGGGTAAGTTGTGCCGGAAGCTTTTTTGTCGTGCCACGTCAAGGATCTTTTTAGCCTCCAAGAAAATGTCTGCCCATTCGGGCACCGGGGGACACTTCTATCTCAGTGTGTTGGACTGATCTAAATTATTCCATGTGGGGTCGCAATTAACCATTGAAGTTGAAGCCCAAAATGGGCCCAACTTAGGCCCCAGTAGTAAATTGCCTGTTGATTGGGCCCACACGCACGGACCCCACGAAGTCCAGGAAAACCCACGTTTTTGGACCCTAGGCACATGACTTGGGGGGGTCCGTTTTGGAGGCCCCGCCAGAAGGAAATTTGGCAGGCTCCAGATTGCCCCGCATTGCCCCACAAAGCCCCAAGACGGCCCCGAAAAAGAACCTCAACCGAAAAGTTTTCGGTTGGGGTTGACAACATGGCCCCAACTTAGACCCCAAATTGCCAACCTTGTGCCTCACATAGCCGCCCTGGGCCCGCGAAATCCAAAGCATTGGGCGGAGACAACGAAAATTTGCCCAACAAACAAACCCTCCAAATTGGCCCGACATTGTCCAACATTGGCCCCAAAAACAACCCCAAAACCTCCCACAGCCCAGCAAATGAGTGAACATGGGCCCAATATAGACAACATTGGCTCAACATACCCCTCAACGTGGCTCAAAACAAGACTAAAAAAGAACCTTCACAAAAAGTCGTTTTTTTGTGAAGGATCTTTTTTCCCACCCAGAAACCTCCATGGAGCCCCACATAGCCGCTATGACATGGCCCAGCAAATGACCCAACACCCAACTTAGCCCCCATCACATGCTGGGCCTATGTTGAAGCTCTGCAATTTAAACCTCCAAGGGGACCCCTCTTTTGCACCAACAAGAACTTCAACATTAATAGGCTTAACATGGCTCCAAAATGATCTCCAAATCAGGGCCTTCAGCGAAGGCCCCGATCCGTTTTTTTGGGGGCGACAAGCTCCTAAAGCAAAGCTCAAATGACAATGAGCCTCCTGCTTTTGGACCAACAAGGGCCCAACGTGCGGTCCCACATAAACCAGATGTAGTCTTGCTGTTGCTGCGCTTTGCATATTAGCTGACCTGTTGTTGAGGTAAACGACAGAGCCAAGATTCTTAGCTTGGGCGTCGTGTTTGACAAGCTCTTTGCAGATTTGTTAGCATGACTTGTGTCAACGTACGCGCATTGGGATCTCTTAACTACTTAGTTAACCACAACCACAACAAATTCCCTCAAACGTGCGCGCTGAAGGAGAGTCTGAATTGTTGAGGCCAAGAATCCACGAGAATGAAGTGCCTTGAAACATCGCCGGCAGACTGCCCGCCCTAGAAATTTCCACTGTGTCCGGCGCCCCGCCTCCCTCTCTGGAGCATGCCAAACATCATAGATACGCTTGAATACCTGGGAGGTAACGCGCGGCTTGAAGCCACCAAAAATTAAAGCGCATTGCCACGAAATCAAGTCCTAACCTCACAATGGAAAGTAAGGCTTGCCACGCTATGACCAAGAACCAATTCGTCCTGGTCTGTTTTGTGCAGCTGCGTCCATTCAGCTCGAAACTGCAACAATTCTCTCTGCCCTCCTTTGGTTCGAAAGTGATGCTTGCAATCTGCTTTGCACTTGGTGGTCTTCTTGGCCAACATTCTTTGAACTCGTACAACATCATCCACTGGCGCCTGCTTCCGGACGCCAATTGAACGACAACGCTTTCTACGTAAGACTGCTTTGGGCCCACTGTCATCGGAACTTTGAGACAGTTCTGTCACTGCTCCAATCTGTGGTTCCTCTGTGTGTGCCATGGCTTTGCCAGACACATGTCAACTGAATGTCATGAAATGCAAAAAACGTTGGGAAAACCATGAGCTGACCCAGGCAAGTGGACAATTCCTGCAAAGAAAAATCATTCGTCATAGAACAGCTCCTGGTAATGAAATCCAAAAATCATTGAAAAAACTATGAGCTGATTCAGGCAAACTGACAGTTCCTGCTGACGAAAATCAGCTATCCTGGAAGCCACCAGGGAGACAGACACACACACACATGCACATGCAGCGCAAACTGCCCCGTGTCCCTCTTAAACATGCTTTGCGCTCAAGCTGAAGGCATCAGACCCAACATTTCCAAAGCAAGGTGTACCAAAATCAGACCCATGCAACGTAAGCATGTCACGCTCAGAAAAGGCTGAATGTTGTGAACTGCTCCGACGCATTAAAGTTGCAAAGTCCGAGCTTGCTAGCCCACACCGCGATAGCCGCAGTGACTGGGAATCGAATTTCAAATTTGAAGCAACAACTGCTAAGCTCCATGATTCAAGCAGGTGGACTTGTCCATCATGTTCCATGCAAACAATGTGCATCCTAAACAATTTCTGCTCCAACCATTCCTTGAACGTAACTTTTAAAAACTTATGAAAAAATTATCTGCCCACATTCATGGAATGCAAAACATGGCAAGCGAGTTCAGCCTGGCAAGGGACAACTATGTTGCCCAGCATGTGCATACGAGCCGTTTCCTCGGAGGTTGGCTTGCTGTTCGTCAGCCAGACCTGCATTGGCAGAGAATTCAAGTCATTGAACTTCTCCTGGGAAGAAGGAGCTCAAGGGCTGCAAGGGGCGATCCTGCCATCCAAGAACATCTTCGCAATCTGATCAAGGATTGGTTTCACAAAATGAGGATGCGGCCTACCAAAGGTTCAGGTTCTCAAGCCATCCCATGATCCAAAGATAAGATATGATAATGGTCCTGGAAGAGCTTGAAACCTGCAGCAACTGCGAAGAAGAAGACCCTGCGTCGCTGGGCCTTAAGCAAAAAAGCCCAAGTTCAAAGAGGCACAGCCTTGTCATGAAGTGTCAGAGTTGGAAAAACCACTTGAAACAAATTGATTGTTTGAGGAGAGCACCGGCAAGCCAACATTTTCCAAGGCTGCGCAGCTCCACGACAGCTCCAAACCACGGTCGGCGCACGCCTTCTGAAAGCAAAAGTTATTTGCAAGTTGGATGGTGAACATGGGAGAACCCAAGGAATCAGGTGTGCAGATAGGTCGCAAATTGCTGGCCGGCCTTGATGAGAAACTTCATGACTGTCTGCATAGCGCTCGCCTTGGACAAAATACTTTTGACATGCTCGAGGTAGATCAACTTCCTGGCCAGCGTGGTGAATGTTCACAAGAACTTGTCAAAACTCTCGAGCCCGACCTCTTGTCGGCCGGTATCTTGTCAAAGGTTTCAAAAACCTTTCGAAGCAAGCTGCTGCGTGGATCATCTAATCCACCTTGGCTTCCTCCGCATGAGATACCCTGGCAGGCAAATCAGTCAACACGAAAATTCTTAATAAGTGAACTTTGCACATGATTCTGGCCTGGCATGGAAACCCACCGCCGCATCCTTCAGCTTCAGTTTCGTTGCTGACCTTGAGTGTGCGGATGTCATCATGAATGTCAGCTTTGTGCAAAAATCCTTCGTCCATGCGCTTCTTCAGGACTTCCCGTGCGAAGTGGTTGATCTCAACCTAGTTGCGTGGAAACCGATGCATCACAAGTACCAAAGCACAAAAAGATATGAGATGAGGCTGAGCTGGCAGCATAGCCCGTAGCCCACAAGTAACTTAGTGAAATTTAGGAAAATCAAAGGATGTGAGTCTGCTTGCTGAAACCAGAAGCTTTTGAAAGGACATATATATACTGGCGGAGCTGGCATGCACGGGATTTTCAATCACTGATCTTTCGCTGGACTTGTGTCTCCGTGAAACATACGACTGCCTGCAGTGTGCGCCTACTCACGTGGCAGAAACTTTGGCATCTTGTCCTGAAGGTTCCTGCGCGAAAAAGATACAAACAAGATATATTAATAGAGATCTGGTCCTGGCACAAATTCTGAGTTGCAGACAGCAGCGATTTCCAACCACTCTTTGTGGTGCCAGCTCCATTGCCACCTCATACATTCCAAAATTAAACCTGCAAAAACAAGATCGGTCAGAGACAAGCCAAGAAACTCTTTCCCATACCACTTGGTTGTCACGCTGGATCCAACTGGCTGCCTGATCAAAAGAAGACAAATGAAACAAATTGGATGTTCTGCCTCTACCTCCACAACAAAATGAATACTTAAAACAAGTAGCCGAACTTGGTTGACACCCACTGTCTTGACAACGCCCAGCACTGTTTCGATGGAAGCACCGTCAGGCCCCTTCAATGACACAGCCCTCTCCAAACATGGGCGCTTGCGTGGGTCCATTGGGAAAAACAAGGCATATGCAGCAAAACGTATTGCAACAAAGTTTCGTTTTGATCCTTGTCAAATCTTGCAAATTGTATATACCTTTTCTTCAAACATTGTGAGCATTTGCAAGAGTTGGACAACAATGGTGTTGCTTGATGTCTTGGAGCCAAAGAGATGAAGAAAGAAGCGGGTGTCCACGGTCTCCAGCTGACAACATGCAAGAGAAGCGCAGCTCTAAACTGAAGAATGACAATCCTCTGCAAACTGAGATGCGGACTTGCTCAGACCCAGTTCTAAACCACCGCACCCAGAGAAAAGGGAAATGACCGGAAGCTTGCCAGCCTAGCCATTCCAAACTAAAACTAAAAAGCCCCACACGATGTAGATCCCAATTTGATGCCAAAATCAAAGTTGAACCACTGCCATTGGTTAAGACCTGCCTTCTTCCGGGCATTTGGGAACATCTGATCAAAGGTGTCCATATCCGGGTGCCACGACAAAGAAGTCCAATGCCGAGGCAAACCAGAAAACCATTCAGCTGCTTCTACAGTCAAATAGGTTCCAGGCTGCATGTCAAATTTTTCACACACTTGCCGATACTCCAGACTCCAGCGAATCTGGTTGGCTAAATCCTCAGGCAATCAAGCAGGAAACAAACATGTTCGTCGCACAAACAATACGCTTGAGGCACAGGCGCAAATTCCTCTGCCACTCAGAGAAGCCGATGCTCGGGTTGTTGCTGCAAAGCACCCTGAATGTTCCATCGCAAAGAAAAGAAAAAAAACGAACCTGACTTTGGATGATTGAGGCCTCGGCGTATCGAACTCCATGCGGTGAACACCTTCACACCTTTGAAAATACCAGACTTTGGCACCTTCTTCCCTGAGGTCTCCTTCTTGGGGGAGCTAACCATGACCTCAATCCAAAAGAGCTCAAAACGCTAGAAAAAATAAAAGGCAGTGTGTGAGTCCCCGACTTTGAGGTTCAGTTTGGGAGCTTTCTGCAACGGCACTGTGAAGGCCTTCATGGACACAGTGCCCTTCTTGACACCCAGAACACGGACATGATCCTTGAACATGATGGTTCCAGAGCGCTTGCTACTCACTGTCTTTGACTTCCATTGGGTCTGCACGACAGACTTGCTGGACTTCTTCACGCGGACCTGCAACTCAAGAATCCTAAAGCTGCTCAAATTTGAATCTGTTCCAAAAAACTGGCGCACAGGCAAAGGAAGCCTCAAGGTCATGAGTCGCTGGCTCTCTTGGCGACCTAGCCAGGATGCCATGCATCAAGTATATAGAAAAAAATCTAAGTAGCAACGTTCCTACACACTCTGCGTCAGACAAAAACTGAGGGTGAAACCCCATCTCGCTGCCCGACAGTTCGTCTACACAAGATGACACAGGCATTCCGGAGCACAGAGGCCCGCAGTTGGGCTACCCACTTTGAACCACGATGACTCCATTTCGTCGTGCGAAATGCCGCAGCGAAACTTGAAACAAAAAAATATCCTGCGCCCTGCATACTGGAATGAGACATGGCTGTCCAATCTCAAACAGTCAGCCAAAAAAATCAAAAAATGGACTGCTTAGAATGAATCCCAACAATCCACTGCCTGAACCAAGAGCGCTGTGACTCAGCTTGCGGCTGGATTTCGCTGCAGGACAAACCGCCCACCGGCGACATGAATCAAAAAACATGTTTGTCATTGCCGGTATGTCTCTTGCCAAGAACCATCAAACAGTCTCGCACTGAGAAGCTGCGGTTAAATTTACTTACCGGGTGACAAAACAAGAACCCAGGCGAGCTGTCAAAATAAGAACGGCGAGGCTGTGCAAAGCTTGTGGCCGAAAGGCGGCCAAAAAAATATCAACCCCCTTCACATACACAAGTTCAGGTGACAGCGACTGCAGATGAGATGAGGATATGATAATATGTATGTAAGTATTGCATTGTAAATATTATATATATATGCATACACATCATGCAGGCTTGATGCAAAAATGCAAATCAAAGTATTTGGGCAAACAAGATGTATGCACATGTCCTGTATATCCTTCAATGTTTGTATAAGTTTTTTTTCCCTTGCGATGCGAATGTCCAAGTCCATGCGGCATGAAACTTGGGCCATCCTGTCTCCGAAAAAGAGTGAGGCACTGGCACACTGGGCGCCAAACCCATTGACCACTAGGCACTAGGCACGGGCGTGCATGCTAAGGCTGATGCTTTGACTTGCGCTGGCACATGCTAAGGCTACTGCTTTGAGTTACCGTCCGTGTGCTGACAACAACCATGTCGGCAGTTCAGAGTTGGAACCCCCATTTACACAGGAACCCCCATTCACAAGAAATTTCTTTCTTGCTCTCTATTTGATTCATCCTGCTCTGAACTCAACATACCAGTCGAGGACACAGAAGCTGTCGATGCATGCTTTGACCCTAGCGAAGCTTTGAAATATCTGAGTAATGGGTTCGCAGAAATTGTTTCTGAGGCCTTCCTTTTCCTCCGCACTGGCAGGTCTTCTGTTGCAGGAACCTCTTCCATCTCTCCGGCTGCAGACGATGCTTTCCCTACGCAAGACTCCCAAGACAGAGGCTGACAAGCAATGCCTTGCGCCAACATGGGAACATCTTTTGTAGACATCTCCATCGGATATTTTGCTAAGAGCACCACGCATGGAAACAGCGGACAATCCTCCATGGTGACTTAACGCACAAACCCATCGTTGGCCAGATGCCAGTTGCTGTTTTGCGAAAACCCTGTGACATAATGTCCACGCGTCATGGTCACAGGGCTGTCTTCATCATGAATGTGGAAGATCGCAGACTTGACTCTGTAACCTGCACACACAAGCAAGCAGACCCTGGTTTCTGTTCATGACACTAAACCTCCCATGCTTCAGAGGCCTAAATCCCAAGAAACAAAGAAAGACATCAAAAGAAAACGTAAAGCAAACTCTAAGCCACGCAACCCATTGGAACTGCAGATGCATTAGAAAAATATTTGGCTAGATCCACTCCTACATTCCAATCATCAATCTTGCAACCCATCCATCGCAATTCCCCTGTGATCTCGTCAACTGTGTAAGGACTTCTCTGCAAAAGCACTTCCTCGCTGCTCTTTTCAAAGCCAATTGGAAAGTCTTTCAGCAAGTCAACCATCTCTTGAAGCGAGCATCTTGGTCCATGTCGACAATCTTTATGCTGCAAGGGTTCGTGATTGAAGCAGACATTCAGTTTCTCCGTCGACGCTGGAGCATTTGATAGTTGATGCATCACCTCAATGAACTCCGCCGAATCACACTGTTGATCAATGAAGCCATAGTTCTGCCAGTGGTCAAGCACAAAATGCAGCAATTCAAACGGCGCTACCGCGTCATACCCTCCCATCCAAGAATTCAATTGCTTCAAATGACTAGTGGGAAACGGCCTTTGCAATGCACCCTGCTCAAGAGTTTCGGCATAGTGCAGCCACTCAGGCAAAAATGCAGAACGCCATAGTAACTGCCACGCTGCATTCAGCCAACATGTCACAGATTGAAAATTCACCAAGCCCGTGTATGTGTTTTCTTGTTTGATTGCTTGCATGACATGAGCCACCTTCAATCCCTCAAGCAAAGCATGCGTGGGTTCAACGGTTTCTTGTGCGCGATGTAACGCCGCAGCGCGACAAGCTGCTGCCAAGGAAAGATTCCCCAGAGATAATTCTTGAGATTGCCAATTCAATCTCTCAGCATCTACCTCTTCGAAAAGGCGAAGTAAGCACTCTCCAATCTCCAAGTATCCAAAGCATTTGGTCAAATCTGCAGAATGTTTTGCACACATCTTTGCAAGGAACTCTTGACAGTGGCAGCTGTCCTGTATGTCTTGCCAGTATCTGCCTTGAACACACGGTGTAGCATGTTTTTCAGATAAGTATTAGTCACATACACAACACCACGGCCCAACTTGGCATCATTCGTTTCCTCCACATAAATTTTGGGACAGTCCCATGCCATGCAACTCTTCATCTTATTCCATAGAGCCAGATATTTCTCCAGAAATGTATCTTGCTTTCCGACTTCCTCAGCAATCGCTTCTTTCAAGGCCTTGCGCTCAGCTGTTGTCATTGTCTTCGTTTCCAGTGTATGAAATTTTGCAGAAGCCACCATGCCATGACTGAGAAACAAATTCAAATGGGCTTCCAGCAACTGTGTACTGCGACAGCGCCATCGGAGACATTCGATCTCCCGGTCCCGAACCTTTGCCTTTCGCATCTCCACTTGTGGAAAAGGTTTTGGCGCAAAAGGCACAAGCAACGCACAGATACAGGCCTTTCTGATTCCATGGCTCGGGCAGCCCAACCAACACGTCACAAACGACATCGTTCGGCACCAGGAACAATGAAGATTCCCAATGGCACAAAGTAAGGCTATGGCAGCTAAGATGCCATATTCAGGATCTTGCCCATGGCATACCCACATCCAAGCAAATACCCCCATGCGCAGAAACCAAGGTTTTGCCACACGCATTGCCATACACGGAACATAGACATAACCATCATCAAACTGCACAGGAAACACCCGACCAAGCACGACATGAGCCAGCACAGACATTTCCGGCAGTTGAAATCCCACTGTGTTCTGACTGTTAAACATTTTGCAAAGAATGCACCGAAGTTGTTTCTTCCTCTGTCTTCCACGAACACCAGAAATGTTCCAAGGTCTTACTTTGGAAACATAATGCCGTGTCTGCATCCTACAGGATCCCTGTATATCCCTGTGCGCATGTAGCTCCTGCGGCGAACACCAGTCTTGGAGTCTGTGCCCCACTGCTCAACATCTTCCGTAAGACACAAACAAAGCTTGGAAACATCGGCCACAAAGAACCCGCGTAAAGCAACCATAACCTGCCAAAGCCATATGCGCATGGCAGCAGCAGAACAACGCAGATACATCCGCTCATTCGTCGCACAACACATCCCCGGAGACGTTTGCGCTGCACTGCCCATAAGCACATCAGACTGATATACAAAACAAATGCAAACAGTCCGCTGGGTTTGGCAACATCCAGGTCGGCACGGTTTGCTCGCTGACAGATCGCAGCAGCCGGCAAACGCAGCATCCATGCCTGCCATGACAGCACACAAGGGATTAATCATTCCATCCAAGCAGCTCCGCAATCTTCACAACACAAACTGTCCTTTCAACCCCAAGCCCTCGGCAGTTTTTTTTCACGCCGAACACATTTGTAACGACGCGTTCCTTGATGACTTTGTGTCTATCAAGCGCGTCTAGAAACAAACCCCTCAAAAGCCACAGGAAGCTGACATAGCTGTACAAGACCGACCAAAAACCTTTGTAACGACACATTCCTTGATGACTTTGTGTCTATCAAGCGCGTAAATACGACGCAGCTGCAATACAGCAGAATCCAACCTAGACCTGCAAATCATACCAGCTTCTCACAAGTCCTTGCCGTCCAAAGTCTTCCGCACTTTCAGCCGCTTCGCAACACGCTGCTGCGCAAACAGCTGCTAGATCTCCGAAGTCCTTGGTTTGGACTCTGGCAAGCTCTTGCTCGCATTGACCTTGGCAAGAGCCTCTTTACATTCAAACTTGAAAAGCTTTTGCATCATTGCCACTTTGTCACCACTTTCTTCCTTCTTGAATTGAGCAATCAAGAAATTTCCGCTGGCCCATCGTGTCTGGCAAAGTGCCGTCACCCATGATTTGGTTTGTAACATCATCAATTCCTGTACCGAGGATGGTACCCCGGCGCCCACAAGAGTGCAGCGCTGACCACACATTCCACAGGACGACAGCAATTCAATTTCCAATCCATCCATATCTTGCATCACCTTTGCCTTGGGTTTCTGCATAACTTGACACAGCAGATACACTGAATCAACTGTGTGTTTCTTGTCACCAATTGCAATCTGCGTCCAGGCGTCCAGGAGAGGGAAAGAAAATATCAGCGTCCAAGGCCTTGAAAGCACCAGCTGCCCCCTCGTCGGTCACCTGTGCGCTGATGTCAAAGAGATCATAGTACATGCCGGAGCCCGCTTTGTTGACGCCAAAGTCCACGCGCAGACAGAGCTTCTCTGTGAGCAGACCGGTAAGCATGTTGTTTAGCTGGCCCTCTGCATCCAGCTCACCTGAAGCTTCCTGCGCACAAAGCAGCATGAACTTCAAGCCATCCCCCCACACAGCCAGTTCCAAGGTACGTGTGGGATCCGCAAATAACACCTGTGCACCATACACCTTTTTGCCATCATTTTGCCCATGCGCTTCACACTTCGAGTCAACCAATTGCTTTTTGCACATCGTGCATCCAAGATACCACAGCGTCTCCGAGTCATCCGCATTCATTCCACGCATGTCCTTCACAAAGACTGCCGGGATCATAATGCACTTTCCTGAATACACCCCTGTGTTTGGTTCAGGTGCATGATGTGGTGCAACGTAGTCAAGCTGCCCGGCGAGAATGCCTGCTGTCAGCAGACAAACTACTCCTGAGCAAAGTAGCTCCATTGCCAAAACTTTGACTGACTTTGCAGCCAGCTCCGGATGACAATTTGAATTTGCCTGCACCTTCGGGAATCAACATGACCCAGTCAAGGCGATAGACGCCGTTCTTGGAGGCATCTTTCATCTGCTCCGACAATGGATGCCAAAATGCAGCCATCAAACTAGAATCTCCACTGCCAACCTTCACATTGCACACTTCTTTTTGGCCACCATCTTGCAACTTCGCATCCTTGGTCTGGGGATCTTCAAGCAAAACCATTTCGATGGAAATCATACAAGAATTTGAACATAGAAGGGCATCCTTCACCTGTGGCACAGGTGGCAACTGTGTAGGATAGTTCCCTGTGCCAACGCTCACTTTTGTGGACTTGTCAAAGGCCACACGCAAATCACGATCAAAAAATACAAGCGAGCGGCCTCTGCTCTGCACTTTGAAATTGGTGAGGCAAACAACTTCTCCAGCGTGCTTGAGAAGCGCATTCTGCATGTGTGTTTGATCTGCCACACTCCAAGCTTCCAGCACCAACACCGACCGCAGTGCATTGTCATCCACAAGCACTGCAACACTTTTGCTGGTTCCCTTCTTGAACATCTCTGTGTAATGATGCACTAAGCGACCGCATACTTGTTCTGAGACTCGTCCTGCCACCGCGCTCAAATCCTTGATGGGTCGAACATACGCTGCCTTCTGTTGGCGTGCCATGACCAACCGCAAACTGAAATCCACAAAACTGAAAAAAGCCTTTACACAGAGAAGGTTTTACACACAGAGGCTTTTGCACAAGGAAACTTTGACACAGGAAAGCGCACAGAAACGTTCACACACGGAAGCTTTTTACAGCGAGAAGTTTTACACAGAGGAGCTTTTATGCACAGACAGGTTTGCACAGATAAGTCTTTACACAGAGGAGATTTTGCACACAAAGTTTTTACACACAAAAGACGTTTACGCGCAGAGGAGCTTTACACACAGAAGCTTTTACACGCAGAAGCTTTTTTGCACAGAGTAGATTTTACACAGAGAAGTCTTTACACAGAGAAGTCTTGACACAAAGAAGCCTGTACACACAAAGGCTTTTTTCAGAGAGAAGCCTTTCATACAGAGAAGTCTTGACACAGAGGAGCTTTTACACAGAGAAGTCCTTACACAAAGGAGATTTACACACAGAAGCTTTTACACACAGAAACGTTTACACACAGAAGGTTTTACAAATAGAAGCTCTTTCGGCGCACAGAAACTTTTCCACAGAGCAGCTCGTACACACAGAAGCTTTTACACAAAAAAGCCTTTACACAGAGAAGTTTTTACACACAGGAGCTTTTGCACAAGGAAACTTTTACACAGGAAAGCTTTTACACACAGAAACTTTCACACACAGAAGCTTGTCACACCGAGAAGCCTCACAGACGCGTTTACACAGAGAAGTCTTTACACAGAGGAGCTTTTGCACACAGAATCTTGTACACACAGATGCGCTCACACACAGAAGGTTTTACAAACAGACAACTTTAAGGCGCACAGAACTTTTACATAGAGCAGCTTTTACGCAGCGAAGCTAGTAAACACAGGGGAGCTTTTATATATAGAAGCTTTTACACAAGGATTTTTTTATACACAGAAGCTTTTACACACAGAAACTTTTACACACAGAAGCTTTTACACAAAAAAAGCCTTTACACAAAGGAGCTTTTACACACAGAGGGGTTTACACAGAGGATTCTTTACACACGGAGGCGTTTACACGGGAAAGCTTGCACACACAGGCTTTTACACAGAGAAGCCTTTTCACACAGAGCAGCTTTTTCACAGAGGAGCTTTTACACAGAGGAACTTTTACGCAGAGAAGCTTGTACACTCAGAGGCTTTGACGCAGAGAAGTCTTTTACACAGAGAAGCCTTTACACACAAAAGCTTTTACACAAACAAAACCTTAACACAGAGGAGCTTTTACAGACAGAAGCCGGTACGCAAAGAAACTTTCACAACCGGAAACTTTCACACACAGAAACTTTTACACACAGAAACTTTTACACACAGAGAACGTTTTACACAGAAGCTCTTACACACAGAAGCTTTTACACAAGAAACCTTTACACAGAGAAGTTTTTACCCACAGAAGCCTTTACATACAGAAGCTTTTACGCAAGAAACTTTTACACGCAGAAACTGTTACACACAGAAGCTTTCACACACAGAAGTTTTCTCACAAAAAAACCTTTACACAGAGAAGGTTTTACACACAGAGGCTTTTGCACAAGGAAACTTTGACACAGGAAAGCCTTTACGCAAAGAAACGTTCACACACGGAAGCTTTTTACAGCGAGAAGTTTTACACAGAGGAGCTTTTATGCACAGACAGGTTTGCACAGATAAGTCTTTACACAGAGGAGTTTTTGCACACAAAGTTTTTACACACAAAAGACGTTTACGCGCAGAGGAGCTTTACACACAGAAGCTTTTACACGCAGAAGCTTTTTTGCACAGAGTAGATTTTACACAGAGAAGTCTTTACACAGAGAAGACAAAGAAGCCTGTACACACAAAGGCTTTTTTTCAGAGAGAAGCCTTTTATACAGAGAAGTCTTGACACAGAGGAGCTTTTACACAGAGAAGTCCTTACACAAAGGAGATTTACACACAGAAGCTTTTACACACAGACACGTTTACACACAGAAGGTTTTACAAATAGAAGCTCTTTCGGCGCACAGAAACTTTTCCACAGAGCAGCTCGTACACACAGAAGCTTTTACACAAAAAAGCCTTTACACAGAGAAGTTTTTACACACAGGAGCTTTTGCACAAGGAAACTTTTACACAGGAAAGCTTTTACACACAGAAACTTTCACACACAGAAGCTTGTCACACCGAGAAGCCTCACAGACGCGTTTACACAGAGAAGTCTTTACACAGAGGAGCTTTTGCGCACAGAATCTTGTACACACAGATGCGCTCACACACAGAAGGTTTTACAAACAGACAACTTTACGGCGCACGGAACTTTTACATAGAGCAGCTTTTACGCAGCGAAGCTTGTACACACAGGGGAGCTTTTATACACAGAAGCTTTTACACAAGGATTTTTTTATACACAGAAGCTTTTACACACAGAAACTTTTACACACAGAAGCTTTTACACAAAAAAAGCCTTTACACAAAGGAGCTTTTACACACAGAGGGGTTTACACAGAGGATTCTTTACACACGGAGGCATTTACACGGGAAAAGTTGCACACACAGAGGCTTTTACACAGAGAAGCCTTTTCACACAGAGCAGCCTTTTCACAGAGGAGCTTTTACACAGAGGAACTTTTACGCAGAGAAGCTTGTACACTCAGAGGCTTTGACACAGAGAAGTCTTTTACACAGAGAAGCCTTTACACGAACAAAACCTTAACACAGAGGAGCTTTTACAGGCAGAAGCCGGTACGCAAAGAAACTTTCACAACCGGAAACTTTCACACACAGAAACTTTTACATACAGAACGTTTTACGCAGAAGCTCTTACACACAGAAGCTTTTACACAAGAAACCTTTACACAGAGAAGTTTTTACCCACAGAAGCTTTTACATACAAAAGCTTTTACGCAAAGAAACATTTACACGCAGAAACTGTTACACACAGAAGCTTTCACACACAGAAGTTTTCTCACAAAAAAACCTTTACACAGAGGAACTTTTGCACAAAGAAACTTTTACGCACAGACGCGTTTACACACAGTAGCTTTTACGCAAAGAAGCTTTTGTACAGAGAAGTCTTTACCCATCTTTCATCATGTCTCATTTTTCATGATCATTCACCATCTGTCACCTTCACATCTTCGTTTTCATGCTCTTTTAGTCAACTCCCTCCGTCGCTTAGTTTTCATGTCGCACGGTGTTCTGTCCGTCCACGCTTCGTCCTCGCTCCCTCTGCGGCGAAGCAAACTAAACACGAACCCAGGAATACATAGCGACTAGAAAGATGGGATAGAGTTAATTACATTAGCAGAAATAGCGACTAGAAGAATGTAGACGTAGCTGACACAGCATGCTGTGGTGAATTGT